TTTGTATAGTTCAAATCAAAGAACCCATTCTCGTTCTCGCTCACCATGTAAGAATTCTAAACAATGGATAAGTTCAAATGCTTTCATAAATTTTGTTCAGGACTTCAGACAAGTAATTAAGTATATAAGAAATCTATTTTTGCTTATCAATAAAAAAAATTACATTTACAGAATCTTACTGGTGTCAGAAGTACAAAAATATTCCAGATAGCTGGTGAAAGATGGAAAAAAATGCCTTTTGAAGAAAAACAACCATATATAAAGGCAGCTATGAATATTAAAAATAAAAAGCAAAATCAACAAAAGATTGAAAACATAAATAATGTCGTTAATACAAATACAGAACAACCAAAGAATGAAGATACACAAAAACAAGAAAAAACTGGCAAGAGAGAAAGAAAGAAAAAGGTTAATACTTTATTTGATTAAATTAACTAAAACCTTTTATCTCTTAGACAGTATGAATAGTATAGGTCTTTAATTATAGGAACCAAAAAAATCTATTAAGAGTAAAAGTAATACTGAATCAGATAATGAATCGATCTCTTCTGGTACAACAGCCACAAATACAAGTGAAGATATGTCGGATATGAGTTCATAAATATAATACAATCAGTTATATAAATGTGATGGTATTTATAACCAATTGATGTTTTGATAACTTTTCTCATTGTGTAACTTATTATTAAGAAGACTCAAATTTTTCATATATAATAAAATTTTTCATTTGTATTAAAATATATTTATGATCCGTGCAAAATTTAAAATGATACATTTACTTTTTATATAAAACATACAATGCTGCCTATATTTTATAAACAATATTACCATCTGAAGTTCGACTGAAAGGCATGCCACAATTCTCCAATTCAATGACTGCCTTTGGTGCTTCACGTGTCATATAATGAATAGCATCCTGATCACCCAACCAGTCAGATCCCTTAACTGTGTCATACATGTGCCACTGCCAGTTATCTTCCTCCATATTACCCAAAGCAGCATTGATACCTCCTTGAGCAGCAACAGTATGTGACCTTGTAGGAAATAGTTTAGTAATGACTGCTGTCTTGAATCCTTCAGCGACCAAGCCATAAGCTGCACGCAATCCTGCTCCACCAGCACCCACAACAACAGCATCATAAGTATGATCTACTAATGGATAATGCTTAGAAACATTGTCTGAGATTTTTGCAGCCTTGCCATCTGGGGTATAATGAAGTTTGCGATTTGTAATGACCAGTAATCCAAATTTGTTCTGAAATAACATGAAAGCATGATAAAAAGATTGGTTAGGATAAATAGACATCACATGTGATAATTATACAAAATCATGACTGAATCTTATATCTATAGTGTCTGTACATAGCAAGTGTATGTATGCATAGACTTATACATATATATAGCATAATCACATTGCATTAATATTCTATTTATAAAACACGAAGCAGTTTTAGAAACTGAATTGAAAAAAGTAAGGTGACACTGTTTAAATCGTTACAAAACGCAATTCGATTTAATAAATGACTTAACCGTACTTTAATACGTAACATGTCACTCGTGATATACTGATTTTTAATGGCATTGCAACATCAACGATATCTGACCGAAGATTTAATCTCGAGTAATATTTTTCGTAATAAGACTACATTTTGACAAATTTTTTTAAAGATACATAAAAATAAACCTAATTTACAATAATTTTTAAAAATTTGTTGTGATAACAATAGTTTGTTAGTATTGCGATAGAAATATAATAATGATATGTAAAATTATGTAATTAATTAAGACGCGTGATTGTCCTGTATCATAAACAAGGTTAATTGCGTTTCGTGCAATTTTATCGAAATGTACTGAAATATATTAATGGGCTATTATTTATTGAATGTATCATATAAATGATTAAAAAGTTGTTATATACCGGAATGTAATTATCCTTATCGAATTGAAAATGTTTTCACAATGAGGCCATAGAATAGAACTATGTATTACTCGATGAACATCATTTACCATATGGAGACTAAGAGAAATGATATGTTGGCGATAAGTTTTTTGTCCTATACTAGATATACTGCATTTAAATTTCAATTTTATACACTTTTAATCATACTAAAGTCATGTTGAAAAAATGGCTAGTGGTTATAAAATCGAATATTTAATACGAAACAAATTAATAGAATGAAAACCAAGTAATTATCTAAAACAGATTTATTACGCTTTTATTTCCGATTAATATAGTATGATGAATATAAAAAAAGAAATTCGAAGATGGTAAAGTTAATGAATTAACACATGAAATGATATTTAAAGAGTGTAATTTCGCGCTAATGTCAGTTTCCCGTGCCGGTAGTTTATCCGCAATTATAATTAAACTTCTAAATAAGATACAGCAATTTTTTTTATTGTCACGTATTTAAGGTCAACATTAAAGTGAAGAATAGACAAAAAAATATTTGTTTAGTGAAGATAACGGAAATTAGAATCGTTGTTACCTACTTTGCAGTGAAAATCATGATTATTGAGTAGGCCGGCTATTGTGGGGTGGCGCGTACGAAATGAAAGAAGTGCGGTAAGAAAAGACATTCGACGTTAGAATTGTCTGCTAAACGTTCTCCTGTCTAGCTTGAATTTATTCAAATCACTATTATTTTAATCAGCGTGTTTCCAGTATTTATTTATTCATGACTTTTAGACAATTTTAAAAGACTGATGTTTATAACGAAAAATATTTTGCGAGAGAATCGATGCAGGTATTCGTTAAGACATGTTAGTAAACTTACGTAATTGATCAACGCCGAGTATTATATAGCAGGTATATCATTGTTAGATTAAAAATTACATAACTTAACGAAAATCGGCTTACCAACGTCGTTGTGGGAGGATTTCTCGCCAGTAAAGACGATAGCTTCAAAAGACCGCTCATCTCGGTATAATGTCACTTGCTCAGGTGAAAATGTTATTATTAACAATAACACGCGCACCTCTTTATCGAATGCGCGATTCGGATTCACCGTGCAAATGCTAATATTTGTTAACTTCACTCCCGCACTTCTCGCACGGCGACGTGAAGTGTACAAGTCGGTTGAGTACCGACTACTGGCGGAAGCTTCCTGACGAATATCAGTGCTGCCAATCCTATCGTCACGAGATAACCTCGTTTGTAAGGTGCTCGCTAATTTTTTGCTTCAATCTCATTGTTTTTCATTCATACACTTTGTTTGTTTTTAGCATTTTTAAAGTATAATTGTTTTAATATTAATCCTTCGTCCTTCGAAATTTCGAAGTTAACGTCACAAATAATAGTTAGCCGTAGGCGGGAAAATTAAACGATACCGCGAAAGAAATCAAGCGGTTCTCATTTCACTTTACATACGATGGGGTGTTAACGGTATTTTGAATTATGTAGCTATACGAGTGCGTGGGTTCTAAAGGGAAAGTAACTCAATATAATCTGTGTAATGTACATCATTTACCTGTGCTCTAAGGAATGAATATTAAACTAAAAAATCTAAATAATTCAAACTCTATCGATAAATCATTACAAGTAGGCATCGATATAAATTAAAAACGCTAGTGAGAGTTACAGAACTTTAACAATAGAGAGGTAATTTTATTCATATTTGTATATAGTCGTTGTTTTTTTAAATTTAAATTTGGCCATTCATTGCTTGGTGAAATATCGATCATACCAAGTTGGTTTCAAAATGTACACGTGTACTACGATGTTTCAGAAAACTTCAGAATCTATGATTGTTTGTGTTTCGAATTCCACAGCCATTGATTTCGCAAAAATTCTCACGCTTTATGAGGTTGTTAACACAGCTGCTAACGGTGCCTATGCTTAACCGAACTTTATTTCCTGTAGTACGGGGAGAAAGAAAAAAAAATGAGAAAGATTTGTCGTACTCCGGGGTTAGCGGTATGGCGCACGTTTCGTTTCCCTATTGGTTGATTCTTTGTAGGCTCGTCTCTATATACATAGGTAAATCTCATATCGTATGGTGGGGTGTCACATGGTGTCACACATACAGGTACCTTAGTCAGATGTTACCAATACAATAGCTGATCAAGTGTTGGTAAGTGTAGGAATGTAGGAGCACGGTTTACGAAACAAATTAGCTTGCACTGATTCATATATAGCTAGTGTAAGTATTCATTGTTCATGTTTAAATATATATGAGTTCTACAGATACGATCTATTTGTTAAATTTTTTAAATTTTCAATAGAAAACCTTATTATATAAATATGTTAAACATATAAAATGTTGTGTGTACGTGTAATAAAAAATGAATACTTCCTTTTATATTATTTTACTTTATTATTACATCTTATATCCGATACAATCAAACAATAAAATTATTTGATATGTTTTCGACTAAACTTTTGCATGCAGATAAGCTTTGTCCTTCGTTGTTTCTGATCAGTTATATTCTGGTTTTTCTAATTGTTCCGAACATTTTATCTTATATTTATTTATGGAAAAATAAGAATTTTAAACAACATACACTTTAGATTCATTGAACATTGTTTTCTAAATTCAGAGTCATTTGTATCGAACACAGCTTTTTATTTTGTAAATAGTCAAGAAATAAAACGTAATTACTTCCAGAACAATTCTGAAAAATATAATTTAAGGAGATGTTCTTTGAATATTAAATTCTGAATGAAAAATAGAATACATCGATGTAAGTAGCTATCTTTCACTCTGTTATCTACTTATCAAATAATCATCATCCGATTTTACGAATATCGATGTGAAATAATTTCTCTTTGCGAAAATATTCGAGGGCAACGGTAGCTAATTTTTAATCGTGTTACAATGTCCGATAGTGGTCGTAAACAGTGCGAAGAATGGCTTTCACTCTGCAGGATAAGTGATACGTTTCGTTAATTGACTATGTAAAATAAGGTGACAGACAGGTCCGTGCCTCCGGTTGGAATTAATTACAGTAATCGATTCGACACAGTGGACGAAAGTTGTATAAACAACAAAATTTGCAGGTTCGTTGTTTTAGCGGTTTCAAGATAGAAACATAGCTCATATCTGTATTATCAATCATGTCAATACAAAGAATGTTGATAATATTAGTAATATTATTAGCCATGTTAATTTAGGAAAAAAGAAAAAATCAGGCGAAAAAGGTGAAAGGGAAGAATCGTAATGGGATTTAATGATCGTATTAATATACTCGAATCGATGGAGGAACATGTCGGGCTTCTGTTTCGTCCAGTGTCGTGTCGATGACAGGACGATAAGAAATGCTGATCTGTAAAGGTGGAAATATTTCTGATATTTCAACTGATAAAAAGAATACACAATTGACATATTATATAATCTCGCAAGTTTAAATATAATTGGCGATAAAGTTTCAAAATTCGGTTCAAATGCAGCTACACTTTTATATTTCATTTTTAATTTAGAAATAAAATTTCGAACATTTATTATTTAATTTTATTTAATCATGATCGAAAAATCATTTAATAAAAATCATTGCGCCCCCGCTATAATATAATAATAAAAATATAATATTAATAATAAATCAATAATATAAAGTAAAAATGTTGACTATAAAAAGCTAAAGTTATCAATAAACAAAATAATTCTGTCGGAAAAAGTATACCATCGAGGCGCTTACATGCATTGATATGCCGTGAAATAAGTGATAAAGGAAAATAGGAAATCCCGATAACTTACCGATCCATCTGGTCGGGACCATGTGAGTGTGTGTTTGCGCCAATGCTCAGCATATGATCGTTTCTTCTGACCTTCAAGCGGTTTCGAGTAGTCGTATTCATCGATTCGTTCCTGCAAATATAATTTTCGTTCGATTTCGTCGTGAATATTAGCCAGCTGCAGATCGAATTAGATATTAGATTAAACAAAGATATAAATACTTTGAAATCATCCCGAGCATGAGACCCTCGAGACTCTTTTCTGTTTTCGGCCGCGTAAACGATGTGCATACAAACCAACATCATGTTTTGTAATTCTATGGCTTCTACCAGCTCTGTGTTCCAGATTAAAGATTGATCTTGAACCTAAAACAATTCGAACATGTTATAAGTTTCAATTCTTTCTAATTCTTAACACGTATTAATCATCAGAAAATTTCTTTTATTCCTGATATATATTAATTTATGTCCAGTAAATTTTGTTCTTTAATTTATTCCAAAAATACAGTTCAACTTATAATTTTGAGGGTCGAAAATTGATCCCATTTATCGTTGAAAACAGTCAGCCATTAACACTTAACCATTGCTACGTTCGTAATGCATAATGCCTTATCTGTTCCTGACTCCTACTTACATCGTATCAAACACAAACCAAACCTATTGTTATTTTATATTTTCGGTATAATGTCTTAATTAATTATTTATGAGGCTGTGTTTGCACAACTCTATGTAGCAGATCGGCGAAGCTGCTTCGCACTATTTGTATATAGTTTAATATTTTTTTCTTTCTTCTGTTCATGTCGACATCGTCTGATGAGAAAAACTTGGGACAGTATATCGTGTGACAGATAAAACGGATTAAATGTCGAGAAGATGAAGACCTTATAACTCAATCTTACATAAATGCATCATTTCGATCAATTCACCTACACATATATCCGGCAAGTCGCAGGTAAAGAGTCGCGTCATCTCACGACATCCTCGTTGTAATACATCGCAGGTTCTGAACACCGAGCAATACTTGTGCATAGTTTGCTGCATCTCTTCTCGCAGCTCGGCGATAGGAATACAACCTTTTGCATAACGAGTCGCGTCAAAGCGGCAAATAGACTCCTCGCCAACAATCTGTACACATACGTAAGTATGCAATTGAGTATAGTTATAAGAGACAAAATAACAATAGGATCTTAATAATAGCCGGTATTTTGTTTCATTATTTGATTCGAAGCTTCAATTGCGTTTGAGTTTTATTATTGAAAGATGAATGAGAGATTATAAATAAAAATTGGTTAAACCTGTCAGGATAAATGATTTTAATATAAACGTATATCGTTGCTATTTCAAACTTTCCAGTGACAACATTGAATATTAATGTTTAATTCAGATAGAGAATTATTATGTACGTAAAGACGTCACATACACGTAAATGAAAATAGCTGTGTATAACTGTGTATAACTAGAGGAAAAATCACAATAGGATATTAATAATAGGCAGCATCTTACGTTCGATTGTTCAACTTGAATCCTCGATTCGAGTTTCACTATTCAGAGTTGAATGTTTTTATTGCAGGATGATAAATGAGAGGTTATGAATGAAAGTTAATTGAATTAAAATGTCCTAATGTGTTCTTTGTGTATTTAATATACAACTTGAAGGTTCACGGTTGAATAATTTGAGATATTTCTGATCAGAATAAATAATTTTATTTATTTAATAGAATGAAATAAAAATATACAATATATATATCACAAAATTAAAAAAAAATCTTGATATTTTAAATGTCATTGCTATTTCACAATTTATTGTAAATCCTTCTTAATATTCTGTCGTTAAAACATAATATACTAATAATATACTTCTAATATAATTCTAATTGGACATTGAATTTCATTGCTTCATACAGTGAACGATGTATGTATAGATTGTCGGTGAGACTACAAAATAAAATAAGATTACAAAAAAGAGCAGATTTAATTTCTCTTTTACCTCTAAAAGTAATAAATTATAATTGGAGTAATCTTTAGTACTTTATGTTTAAAAATTAATTATTATTATTATTATTATACATAAACCAATCATCTGTGAAATATTTATGTTATTAGTGTTTCACTTTTGTCTGAGACAACAGATCTTAAAATCGAAGCATTTACGTATTTAACTAAGTTTACCGATGACTATTTCATATACAGAGTGGATGTATTATAATACAGATAGCCATAGCATATTGTAGAATTTTTGTAAGTATCTTCTTCAATTATGGAAGCATAAATGGGTCCCACTAAAAAACTATGTGAATTTATAATACGCGAAGAAACATAATTTTGTATTCCACAACTCATTAAGTATTCCGTGCCACGTATAACGAACCATCGAAAATAAATTGTGCACTTACGGATGGTAAGTCCTCGTGACGTTCTCCAGGCCTGGTCATGCAGTCGATCTGATCGGAGATTGCCTTGCCAAAAACGACTAACTCCAGAAGGCTATTGGCGCCTAACCGATTGGCCCCATGGACAGACACGCACGCGGTTTCACCTGCTGCCCAGAGTCCTTCGATCACGCTATCTTCCTCGTTTTCTCGCGTCAGAACCTTGGGCAGAGTTACCAACCAGTGATTCATGCTTCGTGCGTAGTTGGTTTAGCGAAGGGCGTTCTAATTATTCACCTGTGCTCGCCAGTTCGTGGGTATGCCGCCCATATTGTAGTGCACTGTGGGAATGATAGGTATCGGTTCTTTTTCTACATTCACGCCGCTGAAGACCCAGGCTAAGTGCGAAATTCCTGGTAGTCGCGTGCGTATTGTTTCTGTTGGCAAGTGATGTAGTTGCAAAAATACATGGTCTTTCTTCGGACCTACACCTCTGGAATGGAATAAATTTCATGGAAGTCACAAGGATGCAGTAGTTTCGTGCTAATAGAAGGAGATGATCTTTATGTGTTTAATTTTGCGACTTAGGTTCGTTTGGATAAATTAGGAGTAACTTTCATAGGATCGTTATTAAAGCACAAATGTGGAAAGTATAAATTGTATATATTGATATAAGTTATTTATATATTTATATAATATTATATAACCTATATCAAAGATATAATTATATAAATAAATAAAATAAATAAATAAATAAATATATGTATATAGACTTATATGTAAATTATGTATACGTATGTTTCTTAAGATATTTAGATATATGAATATCATTGGATTTCTTACAAATCATCTTACATAATAAATATAAAGAGTGTTACAATTTCTTATCAAGAAAACTTGAGGTTAACTCAGAGATTACAAGTTTATTTCGCATTTATGATGTAATGAAACTTTTCCATCTTTTTCCATCTATGACCTGAAAGTTATTTCATGTGCTAGTATATAAATATTATATAAATAGATAATTTAATGTACCTACAGAGTATTAGATAATTTAATATGTCTACAGTAGTAAGTCTTCTTTCTCGTTCAATAGTTTTACCAAAGGTCAATATAGAAATCTTTTTTAAATTCTGATAAATGAGAGGGAAGATATAAGAAAATAGACATAACGGGATCGGGTAAAAACAAATCTGTTTTCATAAAGTAACGGCGCCGGAGAGCACCGAAGAGCATGGTATGTTTCGTTATACGGTAGAACTCCATTTATCTTGACCAGCTCACCAAAAGTATATTTGTGAAAAATTAAGTTCATTTTAATATTCCAAAAGTTAAAACCTAAGATATTAAGCGATAAAAGTCGGGGATGTATTTCACATTATAATTGAATTTGACATTGCGTATTTCTATTAAATGTATCGTAATTATTGCATATTAAATTATTTTCTTTTATTCGTACAATCTTGAGACTTTTCACTTGTAGTATGTATTACTTTAAACATTTCACCTATAGCTAGAGTTTATATTAGGTCGTCCGGAAAGTTTCTTTCGTTTTATAAAGAAATAATGCATGGACAACATTTTTCGTTTTATATTATTTTATCGAATTACGTATGATCCATTTTTTTATCAAAATAAAAATCACAACGTTCGACAGATTAAGTTTCATGTTTGTATAAAGATACGTTGTTGTAAAGGACGTGTCTGTAAAAGAAAGATACTTTTCGGACAACCTAATATAATCGGGGTTCACTGATTTTCCCCACTACCAGTGAATTCCAAGTAATAGGAGTTCACGCCCAGATAAAAGTTTAATTCCTAAGTTTAATCATAAGTTAATGTGTAATAAGTAAAATTCAAATAAATGGTGTTTTATTGTCGATTATGGCCGCGAAAGTGTTAAATATATTCATAGAATTTCCTATATGCTTACCTTCCTTCGAATATTTCCATTGTTATTGCTCTGGATACGATATCGCGAGAGGCGAGGTCTTTCGCGTTCGGCGCGTATCGTTCCATGAAAAATTCTCCTTCGGAATTGAGTAGCTTCCCGCCTTCTCCACGGCTACCTTCTGTTATCAAAATGCCGCTGCCGTATATTCCTGGCGGAAAAATCGACTGGTTAAACGGGGAAAGCTTTTGCCCTTGCGGATTCTATTTTCCTTTTTGCTACGCAAATACCGGTTGGATGAAACTGGATGAACTCCATATCTTCAAGGGGCAATCCTGCTCTGGAGGCCATCGCCATACCATCTCCGGTGCATACATGTGCCGCGGTGCAGGACAGGTAACATCTTCCTGCTCCTCCTGTAGCTAATACCTGGAAAAGGTGTCAGCTTGTTTATCGGCTCGATATTTAATGCTCATGTTTAACGACCCGTCGCGCCGTTCCCTGGCTTCGTAGGATAATATGGTAACATGATGCTAAGGATACCGTGTCTGAAATTTTTCAAAAGCAAAAACCACGATGAAATGTGGCATGCATGGGACTTATACATATATTTAGTAAACAATTTGCAAAGTGTTTTCTTTCTTCGTTCCTTTTACTTATTTTGTCAAAAAATATAATTTCAATGCATACGATGTTATAAAATTAAAAGAACCGCTTTGTACATCGTTATGCAGCAAATATTTTAATTCTATTAATCAAAGATCAATGTTTACTGTATGATGAGCCCTGAAGCGATGCAGAAGTCCGGTTTCTAGTTCCCATGCTAAAACTCCCTTGCAGCATCGTCCGAACATAAGAAGATCGAGGGCAAAGTACTCGACGTAATAATGGACGTCGTAACGGAGGCTCTGCCCATATAAAGTGTGTAGTATTGCGTGACCGGTTCTATCCGCGGCGGCACAAGTTCTGTGAGCTTGACCACCTTTTCCAAACTTTAACGATTGTCCACCAAATGCACGTTGATAGATTTTTCCATCGTCCGTACGGCTAAAGGGACAACCTAAAATACGTAAATTTTGATACTGCTAATAGTTTAAAAATAAGACTTTGAAATTTCATATAATTGGTTAATTCTAATTCATTTTATTCATTTAATTAATTTTAATTTAATAAATTGGTAAATTTAATTCTCAAATATGAGAGACTTTCGAATATGATTCACTTATGTTAACTTTTTTTATTTTATTCTTTATTTATCTTATTTCATCAAAAAAGCTATATTTGGTACTTAAAAAATTACCATAATTTTCGAGTTCATAAACTGCTCGAGGTGCTTCTCTTGTTAGGAAATGTATCGCATCCTGATCTCCTAGCCAGTCAGACCCTTTAACGGTATCATACATATGGTAAAGCCAATTATCCTCCTTCTCATCAATAGCGGCATTTACTCCACCTTGAGCGGCGACAGTGTGAGATCTTGTAGGAAATAATTTTGTGACCACTGCCACGCGGTAACCCTTACTCCCTGTTCAATAAAAGCACGAAAACAAGATCGTTGAGAATTGATAATTAAAGAATGATGAATTTTCTAACTTTACGTGGTAGGTTAATGGCAGATAATAAACATAATAAATAATAAATTCGTTAAACTAATATGTACAATGTTTAACACGTTCAAACTGGTGTGATCCACTGGTGGGCCGTAACCAGCGCTTCTATTTGGCGGCGTGGATCACCGGTGGGTCACACCATATTTTTATCATCGCGCGGCAATTACGTTTCCAATTTTAATTTATAAAAATGTTATTTAACGAGAACTGGAATAAAATATAAATATTATTGGAGAAGGTGCGTACGAAAAATTATGTCGGCTCGAACGTGTTACGTAAACAAACTTCTTGGGTTCGAAATAGAAATTTTATAAAATGGCTAACTATTTAATATGATCTGACTGATCGGCAGGTCACGCCGCGTGATGGTAAAACAAAGGTGTGACGCACCGGTGACGCGCGCTGCCAGATGAAAGTGCAGATTGTAGCCCACCGGTGAATTACACCAGTCAAATCTCGTTTACATGATTTATGAATTAAAAAATAGTTCATATTTTCAATTTTCCTTTCAAGTTGACTATAGAATTATGCAATGCATGTGCAACAAAATGCATAATTACTTTTTTAACCTGACTTAAAAGATAATAGCTTTTTTTACTGTAGATTATCAGATGGGTAATATATTATTTTAATTTAATTCTCGAGTTATATGGAACGTGTTTGTAATTAAATTACCTAAGCCAAAAGCCGCTCTCAACCCTGCACCACCCGCGCCCACGATCACAACATCGTAACAATGATCTATTAGGGGATAATCCTGCAAACAGTATTTGAAACATTAAAATGTCAATTATTCGTGGACATACATTTTGAAAACGACAAATAACAAATTTTATTAGAAAATCTTTACGTTACTATTTTCCGTTCCACATTTGGCTTTTTCACCTGGACTGACATTTACGTGAAAATATCTACTAGTTTTTCTGTTCAAGTATTGAGATTGTGAACCAAACCGCTACAAAAAACCGAAACATAAAAATCAAGGCACTTTAAAAAATTAGTTTTCTAATAATTGTTACTGCTTACAAAAAATCGTGGCAAACAGTTCACAGATCGTAACATTATTTCTTGAAGTTTGTGTGCAGCATGAAGTATAATTACACATAAACAAGCTGCTATGTTTGTTCGTCATTTGATAAAAGAAGCAAAATATTTAATCATGACTATTTTCAGAATGTAAAACTCATAGATAGGTACAATACTAGATCTTGTACAAGCATAACTTTATTGCACTTGCAAAAATACAGTTCAAAACATAGATAATTTGTTATATTATTATTAGGACAATGTACATTTAGTTTGGTATGGATTTCTCTGTTAATATTTATGTTCATATATTTTGGTAGATTCTTTTTTAAATGTTTTTTTTCCTGTTTCAATGCTCTTTGAGTACGGATGATAAAGACGAATCACTCTTAGTAGGATATTGGCGCTATTTCGGCAGATGTGTAACAACTACTCTCGTTTTTTTCATTTTTCCTTTCTATGAAGAAAGTTTTTCGACTTATTAAAGTTAAGTTTTTAGACTTATTAAAAGCGCTGCCCGTGCGTTTCGCTACCCACCCGTAATTTATTAATCTTAGTAACGATTAATCGTTGTTATTTAGGCGCGAAATTGTACCAGCAATTGAACTATTACTAATAAATACTCTTAAACTTACGCTACAATTATTTCGTTACACACATATATAAAATACATTATTTGAATAAATGTATGATTTATTTTTGTCCGCCTTGATTCGTTGTGCTCACTCTTATATAAAAAGTTCATAAAAAAATTACTAGGAGGTAAATTCAGGGAGAAGGTGGAAGAAGGCGGTTTTCGATATATCGCTTACTTACAAACGTAAAGTTGAAGAGTAAAAAGCAAAAACGATTAATGAGTATCAAACAACGAACAAGATAACCCAAAGTACAAAGAACAAAGTACATAATTGTTATACTATAAAATTATAATTTTCGTTCTGTCATGTACTTGCAGTTCAACAAAAAACAAATGCAAAGTTTCCTTTTAATAATGCGTATAAATGCTCGTCCATTTTTTTATATGAAACAACAAAAATCATAATTTCACATATTTGTTACAAAGAATATAATCTGCGATGAAGCAATTGTATTATATGTAACTTTCATTTTATATTCTTATTTCATTTTCATACATATACGCGCGAATGTTTGAAATAGAACAAGTTCGAGTTTTACAATCGCAGCACGTTAAATCCAAATTAATTGACCTTTTAAAATCTAATTCTCGTGTTAACTAAGATAATAATGGCGAGTCCTTTAAGTTGATATTACTCGATGACAGAGATGCAATTACTGCCCAACAATTCTGCAATTATTTATATTCGGATCTATTTTCTGCAACTTATTTTCGTTTTTCTTGTGTGTTCATTAATACTTGAAAATTTAACGTTTCTAGATTTTTTTCTGCAAATTTCACAATGACCGAAAACCAGTAACTAGAGCACATAAGTATATAGGTCTAACTCTAAACTGCAAGAATAAAAAATCTTCTTTTCTCTAATGATTTCACGAATATTTAAGATAGTTCTTCTTTCAATTCCTTTGTGCCGATACTTTATCCTTCGTGCTTCGAGTACCTGCTTATTACGATTGTTTATATATACGTTTGAATCGGTTTTTCGTCTGCAATTTTAAACTATAGTTTCTTATAGACTATAGTCCCTTTCGTTTAAAAAGCTTTTGCAATCGATTCGAGGCTAGAACAATTTACTCAGAGTCGATTCCTTGTGCTTCAAAGTTGTTTTTATCGGTCGATCAGCCGAGTGCTTCAAAGCACGAGTCTTTTGATACCGCATTCGCAACAAAACTTGGCAGTTTCCGGGAATTTGAAACCACATCGGTGACAATATTTGGACATCTTGCATTTGGTCATGTTCGTGACTCCATCGCTGTCTTGACGATTGTTCCTCAACAAATCCTCGTCGAAGCATCCGACCACATCGTTAGTGCTGCGTCCATGATGCGAATATTTGCGATTTAAACTAGGAGGAAGAAATTGAATGGGGGTTTAGGCATGCAGGAGATTACATGGTACCGACGACAATTACGGCAAATTACGGCAAATTACACACATAATCCAAAATATACTCTAGAATATAATCTATCGTTCGTGTAAAAATTGACTTGAAAATATTTAGAGCTTTGAAATGTATTATCGTAATGCAGAGCAATCTTTATCGAAGCGGATAATTGTTAAGTAAAAAATATGCATACCTATAATATAAACCGATTTGAGTAATAACATCGATTGAAATATGAGTATGAACGAAGAACTAGGGGTCAAATATTTTAAATATCTCTAAAGAGACGCGGAATATACGTATACAAAATTGTACCGTATAGGACATACATATACGCGCGCGCGCGTGTATGTGTCATGCAGTAGAATAATAAGATAAGAATTTTCACTAATATTTTATACATACTATATCACTAAACAATCGCATATTAACCTGCTATAAGCGGAATCGGCGCTCATTTTATTGTAATCTTGTCTTTTGTAGCTCTCGGGCGAAGATAGTTCCTCATCGCTAATTTGTCCATTGCGTTGTCTGCCGTGAACAGGGCTAGATACGGATAAGGAATCACTTTTCATGAAGGATTTCAAGGAGGGGAAGGAACTATTTTCATTCTCGAACGAGGTCATCAATTCGTCGAACACAGAATTCGATCGTTTGATGTCCACATCCGAAGATATTATGGAGCTAAGGCTCAAATTACTGCTTGAAAGGTTCGTATAATTATTATTCCTGCTATTTAGACTGTTATTCGATGACTTGTAGGTATCGCTATTTTTATGAAACGATCTTTTTTCATGAGAATTATTCAAATTTTTTCGATCCGGGGTAGTTTTAGATGCGGAGGACGACCGAACGGAAACGGAGCGATTAACGTTAGGCCGAATAACTTTTGTTGAGACTTTGTCAAGAATTTTATGAACTCTTTCCGAGTTACCAACAAAACTTCTACTACCACAATTTGTAGCGTCGATTACTTCACCGCCTAAAGCTTTCGATTTATCGATAATTATTCGCCTACCTAACTCTCTAATGGGAGATTTCTTTTCTAGCTTCGTTTTACAAATCGAACCTTTGAATTCCTTGTTCTCTTTGAGATCTTTGAAAAAAGCTTCTTGTGATAACGAGTTAGTCTCGGTGGAATCGCTCGAGAAATCTGACACGAGATCGTCGAATTCCGATGGAGGAGCTATCAAGGACGATCGTTTTTCAGGACTCGAAAGAGATGGCTGGCAAGGATATTTGACGAAAGCCGAGGAATGAGAAAGAGGAAAAGAGGAATCTTGGTTTTGTTCAATCGGCTGACTGTCCGTCACGGATTGTTCGCTGGTGTCCGACAGCAGGTCATTCATCTGCTGCTCTGCTAGTAAGAAAGGATCGTAATCCCTGCCGCTGAAAGCACAATTAGCGGTTCAATGTCATCCCTATTGCACTAGGAGACGTTTCTTTCGGGAACATATCGTTTTTTAAATTATTAATAGTTTTGTGATTGATGCATTGATTATCCAAATTGAAATATTAATATAATTTCGCAGGAAAATTTATGATACAGAAAATAATGAAATTTACATATAGAGCTTACATAAAACTACGTATCAAGATTTCAAAAAGTTATCCGTCGATTTTCATAGATAGATGTCTTCGTAAGTAATTAAAAAATGTGTAAATAAATAAAATAAAAAATTTGAGAAATCATAATCTATAGTCAACCTATAGTCAATAATAAGTTTAAATTCAATTTGTATACCAATAATATTAAGTAAAACATTACATAACATAAATTTATTTACAATGCTCGTATCGAAGTATATAATAGAACTATAACCATTCTTTTTAATATATATTAAGGAATTTTAAGATTATTTTTTGTAATGTATTTTATAGAACTCTAACAATACGTAAGATTAAAATGTTCAAGAAAACATTTACTGTACGAAAGATCTCAAAAAAGAAAGATGTCTTACGTAGTAGAATCAATGCAGTGTGAGTAATATAAAATCTTATTTCATAGAGGATATCGCGTATACGTACGTAAATATATACACGGAATAAATTGAAAATAGCTGCTTGAAATGTAGTAAATGTGCCATGATAAAATTTAAAACGAAGATATTAGCAGTAAACGGAAATTCATCGAAAAATCTGTCCCATGCTTACATTGATCTGTAGTGTATCGAATTTTTCAGATTTCCTATTTTAGAAAGCAATCAACGAATGCCAAGGTCGATAATGCGCCTGTGGAACGATAACGATATGTACACAAAATATCAGAGAAGCATTTCAGCCTGGGATAAACATGCAAAGCATGTTCTTTAACCAATTTTCGAAGTAAATCTTCGTAGAATGTGATAGTTAAACTCGTGTGGAGTCACACATGCGATACAATATACATTAAAGAACGTGCCAAAATTAAATTTGCGGTTCGAACAATTAACGATATCGTAATAAGAATTGGCTTGAAGCTGTCGTTTCGACAAAATGAGCTAACTTGATGACAATTCTGCGAGAAGTGAGAAATTTGTCTTGACAATGTTTGTTTAGCCTGCTGGGACTTACGTTCTACCGCTAAGTACGAGATTAAAATCCGGTCTCCTGCGCACATAATTGCTCCATACGGGACGTAATGGCAGTTTTATATTCCTATAATATTGTACGTGCATTACGAAATCTAAATACAGTATAAAATTGATGTTTTCATTTCGTAACGGTGAATGAAAATTGATATTTTCAATTTGTAATAAATTACGTTACAAATGACAACATCGATAGCATATTATTAAATTGTTTATCTAGGAAATATAGATTTAGATAACATTTCCAATTCAACTTCATATTTATTTTAAAGTAAATTTATAAAACTACTTTACTAGGAGCGAAATTGATTACTGTCGTCGTATTATAAAGATTTGTTCTATAAAGAACTAATAAATATCCTGAAAAATAATCTAACAAGCCTATTCCTACCTGTGACATATCAAGGAAGAGTTACTGGGAACAGATGGGAGAATGCGAAATTTTGGATTTCTCTTAAGAAACCTGCTCGCCTCCTGATGCGGTGGATCGAGATTGATCAATCTATTCTTCGAAGCTTTCGATGCCTTCTCCCAATACGTTTGATTATCGATTTTCTCCTTTTCGTTGCAGTTTTTTTTCATTATCATATGGCTTTTAATCTCCGGCAATATTCTAAATTTGATACTTCTATTTCTTGTACCAATTTCCTCGATCGTTTCCACTTCAACAGATTCGACTTGCTTCACATCCGTGAGATCTACTGCATCGACGGATGATGCTAAACTATCGCTGCTTTCATTCAAAATACTCATATTTTCTACCTCGATCGTTTTCGGTCGATGTGGTTTCAAGGCTGTCGATCGATTTATTAATGAGTCATGCAATCGAACTCGTTGACTTAATTTGAAGCAAGATTCTGACAAAACTATCGATCGTAAACTGCGGGAATTCTGCTTGGTTCTATCGTTTTTGTCAGTGACAGATTTGAAGTTACTTATATTATCTTGTACACGACGTTCGATGCTGTTATCACTATTGCAATCGAAATCTTTGACCGAGCAATTTTTGTAGATTTCTTGCACTTCTTCGCTTATGCCATCTTTTTTCACGGCCGATTTCTCGGATATATTTGACGTATTCTTTGAATTATTATTATCTTCAATAACAGTATATTCTCTCTTATAACAACAATCATCTTTTTTCGGGTTTACACCGAAATGATTCGCTAAAGATTCAGTTAGATTGCAATTATAATTACTTTCGTTAAACTTTATTTTACTTTGTGCTTCCGAAGACTCTTCCATAAGATTATTTGCTAGAACATTCGTATTTAACAATGTATCGCAAACTTGACTCTCAGAATGTAAGGAATTTTCATTAATATTAACAGATGCTTCGCCAACATTGTTCTCACATTTGAAATTTAGGGAAACTTCCGCCGGACAGTTACAAATATTTATTTGATTCGCAACTTCTTTTTTCTGCACTTCTGGAAATTCTATTTGCTCTTCTTTCTGCACTGGCGATGTAACGTTCAAGAAGCCTTCTCCTTTCTTTTTTAACAAGGAACACGTATCTCTTAACAAAACTTTTCTCTCTCTTTGTACTATCGGAGACGAAATTGTTGAGGAACCTTCTATATTCTTATTACATTCGTTATGTCTATTGTTAGAGGGACTAACTGCAAAATTAATCTTTTCCGATTCACCAATCTTACCACGAGACGAATGCCTGGAGTTTAAAGAATTTAAATGTCTGCTTTCAACCCGATATAACATCTCAGATCCTGTTTGCGTGTCAATTTCCACTTTCCATTCGGAATTTTCTGGTAGTAGGCATAATTCTTTCTTAAAATTTTCGTAATCCTCGCATTTGAATTCCGAATAATTCTCAATGTTCCTAAATGGTGTGCTTGATCTAGTTGGTTGTAACATAACGTCTGTATCAAATGGATTAGTTTCCATTTCTATCCAATTTGTTTCAGAATTATGAAACGCATCGTTATTAATATTCTCATTTCTCGTAGAATATTCACATTGACTTTGTATCGATCGAATCGAATTTTTTGTATCAATATCAAGTTCATCATTATCATTGTCGGCAGTTTTAATATATTTTCGTTTACTCCATTCATTATTTTGTTGATCATTATGTAACATTAATTGAGTTACCTCTTGATTTGCTTCCTGCATATTACTATTAGCAATTTTTTTATTTTTTTCGGGTTCACTTATCTTGCAGATGTCTGCAAATTGTCCATAAGAAATTGAAGATAGCAAATTTTCTTCAAGTAAAGGCAGTATGTTTCCTTTTACATTTTCTTCTATCGCGCCAACGCTTTCATTTGCATGTATAGTTTGTAAATTTTTGCAATCTAATAGTCCTGTTCCTTTTATTATAGGTACATTGGTATTCAATGCATGAATATCGCTATTTTCACACAAATTTTTTTGTGAATGCATAACTTTGAAATTATTACAAGAATTCTCCGCATTATCTTCAAAATTACCTTGTGCAAAAGAATCAGCAGAAGTGGTCGGTTTTAGTTGCTTCTTCTCTAAAATTCTATCCCTCGATGATTTAAAACTTTCAGAAGGCGATATTGCATCTGAGGTTTCGAAATAAAAATTATCTTCTTGAGATTGCATCTTATTTATCATTCTTTCGTCTTTTATTACGGAATGCTTTGACACATTTGTTTTAAGAGTTCCCAGTTTTAAATCCCTACAAGAATTTCTAGAATCGCTTGTTGTGTTCGCTTCTTCAGAGACAACGGAATTAATCGAAGAAGTATAAATGTGACTCATTTTATCCAAATCTCCTAAACAGAATTCCACACGAGGACTATGTCTTACTGGTTTCCATTTTTTACTCCTCGTAATATGCATGTCATCAGTTTTATCACTCATTAGCGAATCTTTAAACGAATACGTTTGATTCAACGTCGTTGACGCAGTCGACCGATTCGTGTTTTCCACATTCATACTTAATGCAAATTCGACATTTTCCATTTGCTTTTCGTTCAAAGATAAATCCTTAATGCTTTCTTTCACATCTTTCGCTTGATTTGTTTCCACAAGCTGTTTCCACGTTATCAACTGATTTTCTCTATATATGATGCATGACTTCACAGTGACACCCATAATGTCGTCGTTAATCGAAATATCGTTTAATGTTGGATTGCCTTGACTTCTAGCAGAAACGATGTTCGCTTTCAATGATCTAGCAGAATGTAATAGTTGATGCCTCTCGTCTTGTTTAGTTTTCTGGCTCGTGGTTTTATCTTGTCTCACTATTCCTTGCGTCTTTTTCGATTGTTTGCTGTACGATCTTGGCAAGGGGACGCTGTTGCATTCTTCGAAATTTTCTTTCTTATGTTTTAAGGGCGGAACAGGGAGGTGAGAGGTTCTTTTAACAGGGGAAGCAGGTCGAAAGGTAACCGGTCCGGCCTCGTCTTCCAGTGGTCTGAGGATGAGGAAACAGGATCAAGGATGTGTGCCTGACATCAGGAGAAGGTCATCAGGCTTTATCAATATCTGATGCATGCTGTCGCTTAAATATTTCTGACTAAAAACAACCTTGTCCCTTTTCCTTCTCCTCATGCACGCTACTAACATGTACTTAAATTAAGCTCCACGTATGTATTTCCTAAGACGCACATTGATTGTGGTTATGTATATTAAAAGGCAACATACCTATTTATACGATCTATCAATCGTGACTTCATCGGAACCGTAGGGCTGGAGGACTCTCTCGTTTGACTAAGACGTCTTCTGTAATTGTAAAAGTAATTTAGTCAAATTAGAGTATATGTATATATAGATATTTGAGAAGTTCGTGTTATTAAAAAAGTGAAGTTTTGATTTTTGAAAGATGTCATTGAATTTATAAGGTGAAAGATAGTTAAAGGGTAGATTTTATCACCGAATTTATATGTACTCCGGTCACATGAAACGATTTATGATAGGGTAACTTCATTTATGATAGGCTCGAGGCTCAAATAAATGAATTTCAGTTGTATGCCAAAAAGTATTCGCTTTTTCCAGAAAAAAGTCAAGCAACTTACACGACAGTCGATTTCTGTTTAACGGGGTTGTCTTTGGTCTTGTTGCAACTCGGTGCTGATGCGCTCTCTTTGGCTTTATTATTAGCTGCCAGTGTCGGCAACGTTTTGTTGCCGGAACTCAGGGTGATCGCTGAGCCTGTAGAATACTTCTCGCGGGTTGCTTGTCGACGACTCTTCAACACTGGAGCTCGATATTTCATCCTTGCTTCAAGACGTTCCTTGGCGATGTTCGTCGCAGGGCTGACCGGCGCTCGTGTAATTCTTTCCTTGCACCAGGCCACGTGTCTGTCGTATGCCTTGACACCAAAATGCCGGTTACAGGTAGGACACATGCCCTGTTCGTTAGCGCGTGTTGGTGCATTTGATATGATCGTTGTGCCACACTGTTTCTGCATCGTAGAATCTGCCTAAAAATATATTGCAGCACCGTATAAAATCCTACGATATGCAAATAGACTTTATATATTCAAATTTACAGCTTATATATCTTATATAATAATTATTACTACACAGCAATAGATACACAGATGAAAATTCAATCAGCAATAATTATATTACGATTTATCAACAAAGCAGCAAAGCAGATATAAGCAAACTATAATTTTATAAAGCACTTCGCGAAGAGAATTCATTGCATGCACGAATGCACTTGTATCATTCGTGATGCATCTGGGTTAATTCTATCTGCAATTCTCACCTCCCCCTGCCTGCCTCACTAGTTACCTTCTCATTTCAATTCAACCGTGCAATCTTATATTACCCAATTATTTCGTTTACATATTATGTATAAATTTGTCTCTTGAATCGAAGTCATAAATATATAAAATTATTTGTAACAATTGTGCTAATTATTTTTACTGATCGTTCCGTTTCATTAGGTTAATTACGAAATAGTTATTTACTAATTTAATAATTATTTCCTTTTAAAAACACAAGTAACAATTTTTCTTAAACATACGATACGTTTTACATAATACATAAAGGTATGTATTTCAAGCTAATTTACTTATCTGATTTTAAAATTAAAATTAAAGCCTCTGACTTTTATTAATCTTGAGATTGAATATACACCTGTAAAATTTAATTGGTTTACGTTAATACATCAGAGGATTCAAGACTTACGATCTCGTTGCGTGCTGCGCGGATAGCCCGTAGAAAATCATCATGCGTTTGTTTCCAAGTGGATTTGGTATTGGAGAATTTATCATCCAGTGAACGTCGTTTCTTCTCTTGCTTGGGTAGAAACTCTGCCAACTCGGTGCCCTGGATCCTCTGTTTGGCTGAGTCGAAGGGCTTCCTCTTCTTGTTCGCGGATCGCTCGCAAATCTTCGAGTGCTTGTCCAACGACTGCGGCATAAAGGTCCGTGC